TCAACAAATATGTCACTTTTTTTTTTTCTTTTCCTCACCTTTATTCAAGTAATTTGGACTTTGGAGCACCTGCAACTCATTGTTCCTTTGGAATTTATTTCTCCTTTGCAATTTAATTCACGAAATACGTGGTATGGATGATATTTGAATTAATGAATAAGCTTCATTCAGATCCATGTATTAAATTTTTTGTGTTTGTTCTTTGCTTTTTGTGTGGCGTGGATGGGTTTCCAAATTCATATTGTTTTAAGGTAAATTTTAAAAAAATAGCCATAACATTGTGAAAAAGAGCTTCTTGCCAAAATTTGTTGTTCCACTTCAAAAAATAAGATGTACCAAAAACTCAAGTGGCATGTTGGAATGAGAAAATAGCTGTTTTAGCTCTCCGATTAGAAGACGTAATATGTAATAATTGTGTTAATATTAAAAACTAGCAAACATAAATGTACGTTCATGGAAACAAGTTTTTACAAAACCTGAACCTTCAGGAGCATCCTTTTTTCTTTCGGAACTCTTTCATATATATATACATATATATATATATATATATATATATATATATAAAAGTATTTGACTCATTATACTAGGGATTTACAAAGAAGACTTCCTATTCTAAACCTACAATGTAATCACGTATACTACTACTTTACCGATCATAAATCCCTTGTGGATTTTTACAACACGACTTCCTCGTATTGTTCTAAGTGTTCCTCCAGAACACTCAAACTATCTCACGATATGGTTAAGCTAATTGAGATCGAGAACAAACACTCGTCTCCACTCTAACAAAATAAAAGTAATCTATGAAATAAAAAAATACGTGAATAGCTCTCTCCACTCTTTCTCCAAAAACAATAAAAAGATGATCGATAATCAGTCTCCTCTCCAGTCGTGCGTGGAGCCATTTTATGGCACCTCATTATGGTAAGTCCATACTGCCTTTCTTTTCTTCCGAACTTAGTCGCGTCCACATTCATGCACATGTTGTTGGGTTCGCTTGTACCGTACGGGTCATTTGCAGCGAAAAAATATTTTAAAAACAAGTATTTATCATATAAATACTTAACCCGTAAATACATAAAGCGAATAAACAGATCGTCATCATTTAAAAACATGTATAAATACAAATTTTGATTTGAAGATAGTTTCAAAATTACCTCAACTTGAACTCCTTCAAATTGACGATGATAGAGGAAATCAATTCCCGGTTTAGTAACGATCTTCTTGTTACTCACTTTAGGAATCCAATCGTCTTCCATCTAATAGTATCCACCTTTTGAAATCCGACTCCGAAAGATAATTTCTTCGCTAGTAGAAATTACTCGGTTTTTTAATAAGTATAGGAATATATTTTATGAGGAGTTTTATAAGAACTATTCTTGTTTTAGAGAGATTATAATTTTCTTAACTTTCTTAAATTTTTCAAGACTTAAATTTTTTTCACAAACTTAGCAATTATGAACATCAAGTATGTCCATATTTATACTAAAAATTTAGGTATAAAATAATGATGTCTTGAATAACTTTCACAAGAAATGTAAAGATATTCAACTTAAAATATTTATGTCTTAAATAATTTTCACAAGAAATGTCAAAAAGTCTTGTATCACTTTTACAAGTTATCTTAAAAAGTCTTGTATTACTTTTACAAGTTAATACAAGAATATAATATAATATGATGTAGGATCCCATCCCATCCATTATATTTTTATTATTATTATTTAATCTTTAATCTCAATTAAAAATTAATAATAATAATAAACAAATAATTTTAAACTCTTTCAAAATTATTTGTATATATATTTTCTCCCATATATAAAATCTCCTCATTTAATAATCATATTATTATTTGAAATTGAATTTTAAAATCCAATTTTAAAATCCAACTATTAATTTAGTAATTCCATTAATTACTTAATTAATATCCAAAATAAAATTAATCAATCTAATTGATTAATTTAGTAAATTCCTTTAATTGACATCTAATCAAAATTAGATTTGTCAATTAATTCTAACTGTTTAGAAATACTAATTTCATTTTGCCTTCATTCAAAAATTGGTGTGATCTTTTAGGTTCACTTTTAATACTAGTGGTGGGTTTACAACTCTTTGTAATTTGAATTAATCTAATTAATTCTTATTCATGAAATTAACTCCTTAATTTCAAAAACCCACATATCATGGGAACATCTAGCAAGTAGCATGAATCTAGTATTAAGTGAATAGCGAGTAAACCTTTTCGATTACAAGTCCATACATGTAAAATCCTTTCGACAACTAATTTCCCGATTAAATCTTGGGTATGGTTTTTAGTCGAAACCCAGTTGATTTAATAACTATGATTCCATTTTAAGTTTAGTAATTCGTGTATGAATCTCTATTCATCCTGCCTTGGCCAAGGTCTTTGAATCACAAACTATGAAAAACATAGGAAATTCACTCATCCTTATAAGTGTCGAATTCTTTGTTCGCCACAGATAAACCTCCATACATATTAATACAATACCCAAAATATCCCTTTTGTGATTGTCCAGCAATCAAAGGATAAATCAAAGTAAAGCACAATATGCATAAGATTACTATCGTGCCTCAAGTCAGAGGATCAATCATGTACTATTGTAACATGAAAATTCTTATTCGACAGTAAAAAGTTCCATTTAAGAATTTTCATACGGTCATGCTCAGTGAACTTGTTCCCTAACAAGCACCCACATATATGTATTTGCGTCCAACGCTAATGTTGATTGAATGCAACATTCTTGTCCAACAAGTATACATCATATGTGCAAGTCTTACCGGGTTATTCGATATCCCATCTCGAAATATCCATCGACTTGGAACTTTATTTTAAGATCAAAACTTTCAAAGCATCTTCCATGATTACCATCCAATGTGTAACCATATCTTATAGTTTTTAATGATCTAGGGACTTTATCATATGTTCAAATATACATAAGATAAAGTAATGCCTTTTATTTAATATAAATTCCAATAAATTGTATTTACAAGTAGAATGTATCCAATCTGATTGGAACGTTGGGTATTCTACTCTAACACATGTGGCCGCTGATCTCTTGTGCAAGTCATTTCTGCATGGTAAGTTCTTCCGTCTTCTCTTTGCCGCTGCATATGGTAATTATTCTTCGCATATCTTGTGACTCGCATATCTTGTGACTCCCTGCCCACCAAAAATTTCAAAACCCATCCTTATATATTTAATATATTTAGAAGTGTTAAATGTCAGCAAGATCATCGCCTGCCATCGCGCGCTACCTGCCCAGCGTTACCGAGGACGCCCGTCATCTCCCGCGTAAGCCTCGCAGATACCTGCCAAGCATCGTCGAGGATGCCTACTGTCTCTCGCGCAAGCCTCGCAGAAGCGCTTCTTTTTCATAGCTTCAATCGTGGTTTATCCCTATAACGAAGCGAAGCAAAGTGAAGTCATAAAACTCCTAACGTGGCGTGATCTTTTATCGTATGTAAGAAGCATGAACCAATCTATGCCCCTTACTCCCTCCGTAGAGGTCAATTATATCGAGCCTCAACCATTGTGCCAAGCTGGGGGGTTGGTTTCCCTCTAAGTATAGCTAAGTAACTAAAGCCTCTTCCTTGAGCGATCTCCTTGGCTCGTTGATCGGAACATCGTCGAGACTCGTGACCAGTGAACCTTGTTGTCGGGTCCCGAGTGTCGTCTTCTCCCAGCAACGCACTTCGCCTGCTCACGAATGCCATCCGCGCTGGCTTTCGCCCAACGAAGCACATCCCCCGCTCGCGAGTGCCATCATCGCCAGTGCTCGCCCACACGCGATTCCCGCGCCCTGCTCTGCCTGCAACCAGCCAATAAGCAATTCGCCCACTCGCAAGTGATCGAGAAACTAGCGAACTCCAACGAACCTGTTCACAAATCGCGAGTGTTTCATTAATTGTGCATTTTTTTTCATTGTGTATCTTTTGGGTATAAATACCTTTGGCCCTGTTTCATTCGGTAACACCTTCCATTCTAGTATTTTTCTTTTTTAAGCATTTTCTCTTAGATTTTCTTTTTCTCTCTTATTATAATATTCACTTGTGAGTTGTTCCACATCGTTTATATAGGAAAAATAAGCCTAATTTACAAGTCTAATGGGCTACTCCTCCTTCCACCAATTGGTTTTGAGATGGAACCCCACTTGAGCTTCATATGGGCTTTCCCTGCGTTTCACTGCGTGGGACCGCACCCGCTTTTCCCCATTTTTTTACAAAAAGTAAAAAAACTCGCAACTTAACGGACTGTTTTGCATGATAAATAAATTAGCGTAACTATTTCGGACCATGATCAACTTAGAGAACCAACATTGTAATTTTTTCATCAAGTTCTCATGTGAATGAATCTCTCAATCTTTGGATTTTAATTTTTTTTTAAGAAACAGAAATTGCAAAAAGGATGTCTTTTCCCTTTTATATAGTGATTATTAAAATATTAATTATTAGAAAATTTATTACTCTTTTATCTTATATTTCACTATATTCGTTTTATTTTTCTAGTAATATGATGGTATTATTTTATAATTTTTAAAACAAAAAATGAAAGCAACAAAGTAAATACATTTCCCCCGTATTTAAATCTTCAGGACCGGCCGGTCTTGGTTTTATGTTTGGAGCAGTAGCTACAAATATTGATATGAGATGCGACATATACTTTATAAGATCAAGAGGGAGATATATAATCACATATCAACTTTGTTTCTGTTATTACGTGAACTAGTATTCGACTCTGTGCATTTGCACAGATATAAATAAAATTAAATATTATAAGTTATATTTATGTATATAATATAAAAATTAGTTATATAATTGTATTATATTTCAAGATATTGATATATGTGTACCCAAATTAATTCTCAAGAGACGTTACAGCTAGCTACCAGAAAAAACATAGGTTTAATTGGTTCTTTTACAGCATTCCAACCCCAAGTCCTTTAGTTGGTTGGAATATTTAAAATATCATCTGATCCACATATATAGAAAAATCCAAACATTAAAGCAAACCAATTGCGAGTGGGAAATAACGAGTAGTCCTGAATTTATAGTGTTGGCCCAAAAAAATGTCTGGATAATAAATAAATTCAAATTAAAAATTAAGAGAATGGCATTAGTATTTACTGCATGCGCAGGTTTTTCCACATTGATAAATAACGATATATAATAGAACTCTATTGCATTTAGAGTTAACAATAAATAATGTGTTTAATTATAATCAGTGCCAAAAAGTGAATGTTATTAGATCAATTATTAAAGGCTACAAATCAATTAGTCTGTGCTTGGACTTTAGCTGCTTTAAGCTGGATAATATTGATGCTGCTAAAAAATTTGATTCATGAAGCTCATTCCTTGGATTAACCATCCAAATAATAATAATAATAATAATAATAATAATAATAATATATATATATATATAAGATAATTGATAGCAATCAATTAAATAAAATCTCATAATTTTTTTCTCATAAATTTTACCTACAAGGCACATAACTTTTCAAAACTTGATTATGTTAATTAAGATAAAAATCGTTATATTTTATATTAATTGAATAATAATTATATTTTTTTATTGTATCATATAATACTTATAATTATATATGAAAGTTACATAAATATAAAAAACTATATTGTAAAATTTTTTGTTCAAGTTATTCATTCTAAAATTAATATTATATTTTTTTTATCTGATTAAGTGCTTGTTTTTTAAATTAATCAATTTTATTTTTTTAATGTCATAGTAAAATTCTTTAAAATCACATAAGCAATTATTATAATAAATTTAATATTTTTAAGTAAACTAATTGGTCCTTATCTCTCAAAATTACAAATATTACATTATTTATTACTTTTTATGCAATCAATATAGCGATTAGGGGTGTTCACGGTCCGGTTTTAACCGAAAAAAACCGTCAATCCGGACCGCGGATCGGTTAAATGGTCAGTTAAAATAGCCTTAAAAAATCCGGTGGTTAATTTTTTTAAAAATCCGGAATAACCGGTCCGGTTAACGGATTACCTGCGGCAAACCGCCGGTTTAACCGGACCGGACCGGTAAATATTAAAAAATTATAACAAATATATATATATATATACATTCAGTCATTCACTATGGCCGACAAATACAATACATTCACTATGAATGCTTTGCTTTTATTATTTCAGGTGTATAAACTGACTGAAAAATGAATGTTTACTTGAGTTCAGTTTGCATAATTAATCTTCATCATTTTTTTATTTTTATGTTTATGGGAGGAAATGTGCATTTTTATGCTTATGAGACGAATTGTGTACTTTTTATTTCATTATTGTGTTTTTCTTAATTTTTAAGCCCAAATAATCTCTTTAGGACCCAAAATTGAAAAACAGAAATTAAGCCCAAAATGAAAAAAAATAAAAATTGAAGGCCCAAAACAAGTTTTGGATTTAACCGGTTAACCGCCAAACCGGACCGTCCAATGCGGTCCGGATTGTGGTCGGTTAAAAAATAAAATCGGTCCGGTTATGGACAAGAAAAAAAATTAACCGTTAGGTCCGGTTTGGTCATGGTTTGGGCTAAAACCGGACCAATCCGGACCGTGAACACCCCTAATAGCGATTCATATATAGTTACGTACTATTTATTTTAACGAATGATCAAATTTTAAAACATATACCATTATCTAATTTATTATTTTAATATTATATGCATATAGATAACTTAGAGCACCCACAATGTATGGGGTCTCTAAATAAAATATCATATGCCACGTAGAAAATAGATTTAATCTATAAAAAAATGTCTCCCAATGCAATTAAAAGTGGACATGGTCTAGCTTATGTGACAATAAAAAAAAGATACCAAGTCCATACTTGGATCTATTTTGGAACCAAGTACAAACTCAAACACTCATCATTTATTCCTAATTTAATTTTTCTTTTAATAAAGGAAATATATTAGAGCATTTTTATTGATTGACATGTATTCTAGACCTATTATTTTATTTCCATATCCACAAGGTCCCAGCTTACTACTGCTATTGTTGTTGTCGAGTACGAACATATTCCCCATATCTGCTTTCATTGTGGACGATACGGCCATACTGTGTAGGCGTGTCCCGATCGACTGTCGGCGGAAGGGGAAAAGGGCTCGGGAGGACAGATGGGCTCTGATGGCGCGCATAATGGGTCAAAAAATAATAGGCATGAGGTCGGGGAGGAAGTTGGTACTGTATCTGGGCTTGACTCGCATAATGTTGCTGACGGAAGTGCTGGGCCTTATGGGCCATGGATGATGGCCAAAACGGCCGGGCGACCATTTACGGGACCTCACAAAGGGAGTAATGGCCGTAGCCAAAATAGAAATGAATCTTCTCGTTTATCGGGGTCGCGGTTTGAGGTGCTAGGAGAGGCTGATGGGGAGGCATCGGGGTCCAAGTCGGACGCTATAATGACAACGGGGGTGTTTGGGTCTTCACGTGACTCGTTAGGGGGGGCATCAAAGGGGAAGGCTAAGACGGGTGTTGATGGGGACTGGATGGTGGTGCCGGGGAGAAGAAAAAGGCGGACGACAAAGACAAATAAGGTGGCGCAAAAAGTAACAGGAGACGAGCCGAGTGGGAGCAAGTCGAATTGTGGTGCGGAGCCTCATGTGACGGCGCGTTCTTCACCTCCTCCAGGGTCCGAGACGGGATTTATTGATGCTCTCCGTACGGCTGGTCGGGCTCTTTCTTCGCAGCAAGCTGTGGTGGTTCCAATGGAATCTGAGTTAGACTCTTCAAAGCACCTTGCAGTCCAAGTACTGGACTCTCCGGTGTTGGATCCAGTGCCTGATATTGAATCTGTTATTGACCCAGGTGATTCTGAAATGGACGTCGCCTCACCCCGCCTAGCCCAGGAGGGGGCATCGGTTCAAATGACCGATGGGGATCTTGGAGTCTCGGGGGAACTGGAGGTAGAGAAGGGGAATGGATCGCTTCCTGCTGATAGAGTTTGACGATTGTTAATTTTTCCTTTTAATACCATTATATATGAATATTGTATCCTGGAATGTGCATGGGGCGGCTTCTGATGAGTTCAGACGTTCCTTTAATATGTTAGTGCAGCAAAATTCTCCAGATATTGTGGCAGTATTAGAACCGCGGATTAGTGGTCCGGCCGCAGATAAGTTTATTCGGGGAAGTGGCTTCGACAAGTCATTTAGAGTTGAGGCATTGGGCTTCTTTGGTGGTATTTGGATACTTTGGAAGGAGGAGGTTGACTTCCTTATTCTGGACTGTAGCCGACAACATGTTCACGGATTTGCTAGACGTCACAATGCTTCAGCTTTCATTACATTCATTTATGCTAGCCCTAACCCGGGGGTGCGCCGTGCACTGTGGCGGGAACTTGATGGTTTGGCTAACAGGGTGTCAGGGCCGTGGTTGATAGGGGGGGATTTTAATTGTCTTCTTCGGCGGTCTGAGAAACAGGGTGGATCGTTACGGAGTTGCAACGTCTGCTCTTATTTTTCGGACTGGATGTTTGATCATGAGCTGCAGGAGGTGCGTACTAATGGTGTTGAAGTAACTTGGTTTCGGAACGGCGTGGCAGAGAAATTGGACAGGTTTCTTGCTAATGAAGCATGGTTGGAATCTTTTCCCAATGGAATGGTTTTTCATTTACCTCGTGCACATTCGGACCACAATCCGCTGTTAGTGAGATGGGAAGGAGGTGATGTGGGGGCTCCAGGCCCGAAACCGTTTCGTTTTCTAGCCGCCTGGCTGACGCATGGAGGTTTTGATGATCTCGTACGTTCTGTGTGGGTCTCGGGAGGAGATTACGCCACTTTGTTGCGGGATTTCTCGGTACGTGCATCAGATTGGAATCGAGATATTTTTGGTAATATTTTCCACAAGAAACGTCGTTTACTGCGACGTATTGGAGGTATTCAACGAAAACCTTTCTTCCATTTTAATCCTTTTTTGCATGATCTGGATCGGCAATTGCGGGCCAAACTGGATGAGGTTCTCCTTCACGAAGAATTATTATGGCTTCAGAAATCAAAGCGAGATTGGACGCTCTTTGGGGACCGAAACACTTCGTTTTACCATCGTTGTGTTAGGAGCCGCCGTCGTAAAAATAAGATTCAACTATTAATGACAGATGATGGCAGGGTAGTGACCGATCAGCAGACTATGAAGGAAATGGCCCCAAATTTTTTTATTGATATCTACACAGTTGGAGCGAGCTCGTCGACGACAGTTCACATTACGGATTCTTTTCCCGCAGTTGACCCTCGGTGTCTATCATCCATAGGCCGTGATTTGTCAGATGCAGAGATTCTTCAATCACTCAAAAAGATGCCAGCATTGAAAGCTCCCGGGCCGGATGGATTACACGCTATTTTCTTTCAGCAAAAGTGGAATATTGTGGGTCCATCAGTTTGCTCGATGATCCGTGACGTATGGCGGGGCGGCCAGTTTCCGGCTTCTTTGAACAAGTCTTTAATTGTTCTAATACCCAAAGTTGATAACCCGTCGTCTCAAAAACAGTTCAGACCTATTAGCCTGCTCAATGTGGTTTACAAGCTGACTACGAAGGTTTTTGCAGAACGTATGAAGTTGGTGCTCCCGTCGATTATTAATCCAGCCCAAGTGAGTTTTGTACCCGAGCGTCATATATCGGATAATATTATTGTGGCACAGGAATTAATTCATTCGATGAGAACTTTAAGAGGCTGGCGTGGTTTTATGGTGGTGAAAATTGAGTTAGAGAAAGCCTATGATTTTCTCCGGTGGGATTTTATTCGGCAGTCGCTGGAGCTAGTGGGTTTCCCAGGTATATTTGTGAATGCAGTGATGAACTGTGTTACTTCGGGATTCATGCAGCTGCTATGGAATGGGGGGGTCTGCGAGGAGTTCGTTCCGTCCAGAGGGGTTCGCCAAGGGGACCCTATCTCTCCATATCTTTTTGTCTTATGCATGGAACGGCTAGCTCATATGATTGACTCTTCAGTCGGTGATGGACATTGGGTGCCAATTTTCGTGGGTAGAGGAGCTGTTTCGGTTCCTTACCTAATGTTTGCTGATGACCTGCTTCTTTTTGTTGAGGCGAACTCGACTCAAGCACGTGTTTTAAAGACTATCCTACAGGTGTTCTGTGATGCATCCCGGCTTAAGGTTAATGAGAACAAAACGCAAGTATTCTTCTCCAGGAATGTGCCGTTTGCAGTGCGAGCGTCTTTGACGGCTCAGTTGGGTTTCAAGATGGTGGAGAATCTTGGTAAGTATCTCGGAATGCCGGTGATTCATGGGCGAGTTACTAAATCTACCTATGGGGAGTTGTTGGACAAGGCAGAGAAACGTCTAGCTGGATGGAAAGCTTCTACCCTTTTGATGGCTGGGAGAGTGGTTCTTACGCAATCAGTTTTGAGTTCGTTGCCTTATTTTTCGATGCAAACGGTCCTGCTACCAACTGGGGTTTGTGATGCGTTGGAACGCAAGTGTCGTAATTTTATTTGGGGCGGTACAGAAACCAACCGACGAGTTAGTCTGGTGTCGTGGCCTGAGGTTTGTCGACCGAAGGATGAGGGCGGGCTAGGGTTAAAGGAGCAGCGGTGCATGAATAGAGCGTTGATTTCGAAGTTGGCTTGGAATTTTCTTACGCAACCACAACCGTTATGTGTTCGAGTGGTGCGGGCAAAATATGGCTTAAATCCTGAGTATATGGGATCAGAGTTTTCTTTTCCCTGGGGTTCAAGTCCATTAACGGCATTGCGGAGTGTCTGGAAGGATGTGATTGCCGGCACTAGGTGGTCGGTAGAAAATGGTGGTCGAGCACTTTTCTGGTGGGATAGATGGCTACATGCTTCGGAGCCCCTAATTACGTATGCCACTGGACCAGTCCCGGAGCATTTACTTCATGCACCAGTTTCGGCGTTTGTATCCACGGATGGAGGTTAGCTATGGAGTCTTTTTCAGCATCTGGTTCCAGCGACGTGCCTGATGAAAATTGCGGCTGTTATGCCCCCCCAAACGGCGGGCGAGGATGACGTCCGCTATTGAGGACACTCTCCGGATGGACGGTTCACGACGCGGTCGGCCTATGCGGCTCTTGCGGTTCCATCGGCTTCTAGGCGAAATAGGTGTTGACGACTGATTTGGCGATGGGTGGGCCCACAACGGATCCGCCATTTTTTGTGGTTGGCGTTTCGTGACAGTCTTTTGACTAACGAGGTACGTCAACGCCGCCATATGACCATTTCCTCGTGCTGTCCGATTTGTATGGATGTTGATGAGTCCACGCTGCATGTGTTGAGGGATTGTTCTGTAGCTGCGGCAACTTGGCGTAAGTTGATATCTCCGGATGGGTGGGATGCTTTCTTTTCTCGTCCCCTGCAGGCGTGGGTCTGTGACAATTTGGATGGGACTTTGATGCATGACACTGAGGATTGGACGACAGTGTTTGGGGTCACAGCTTGGTGTTTGTAGCGATGGCGTAACTTGAAGATTTTTCGGAATGAGAGTCGATCGGTGGAGGGCCGGGTGCATGACATCCGCTCTTTCGTACATAGCATTGAAGCAGAGGCAAATCGTGGTCATGTTTTGGGTGGCGCAGGCCGGCGTCAGCAACGCTTGATAGGGTGGGACCCTCCTGAACCGGGAATGGTGAAGGTCACCACAGATGGCAGCCACGTACCGAGTACGGGTATGGCTAGTGCGGGTGGAGTCATTCAGGATCATATGGGCAAATGGCTGAGTGGATTCGGGATGAATATTGGGTTTTGTTCTGTCATTGGTGCCGAACTTTCGGGCCTGTTTCAGGGTTGCAGCTTGCATGGGAAATTGGGGCCCCCAACGTGGTGGTGGAGGTCGATAACCAGAGTATTATTGCGATGGTTCAGGGCGATGATGGTTGCGGCATCCACATGGGGATTTTACGAGGGATAAAAGAGCTGCTACATCGGTCTTGGCATGTGTCTTTGCAGCATGGTTATCGAGAAGCAAATTTTGTTGCCGATTATTTAGCCTCCCTTGCAGCGCAGGGTCCGGTCGGCTTTCAGTGTTTCGATGACCCTCCCTCGGGTGCGAAGTCTTGGCTCACTCATGATGTGATAGGGGTGTCATATCCCGGAACCGTGTTGGTCTCGTCGTAGTTAGGCTTTGCCTCCTTTTCTTGTACCCAAAAAAAAGAAAACAAAAACTTGTAAATATTAAATAGTCAACCTTCAATCTTTGTTGGTAGTAATAGTTGGTATGTTGTTCAAACGAGGCCATTAGGAGCACCACAATCACATATCAGTTCACACTTACATAAAGATAATCCAGCTTTTCACCAATTATTTTCCCCTTTTACCCTTCGAAAAATATGACTTTTAAATTTAAAAATATAAAATTTTGGATTAAATAACTAGGAACCTTACTCTAATAACTATTAATTTAAAAATATGCCGTCACCGCCGACTAATGACTTTATGAACCTCAACTCTAATAACTACTCCTATTAATTTAAAAATAAGCAAGTTTTAGTTTGAAAATATATAGTCATCGACTAATGACTTTATGATTTTTTATCCTAATAACTATTAATTCAGCGGAACAATCAATCACATGATGCAAAGTAAAAATGATTAACCACAAAAATCTAAAATAAGTTTGCAACTGGAATCTACCCTAAATATTGTCATTAGAAAATTAATCCTACATTACTTTGTCAAACCATATCACTTCCACAATTGTACACAAGTTCCTTTTTTTTTTTAATGATAATAGATAAGTGCTTTTTGAAAACAAACACACACTATATATATATATATATGTATGTATGCATGTATTTAATATAAGAAAGTAACAGTTTCCGTCAAAAAAATTATTAGTTATTTAATAAAAAAAGTTTTTTAAGTATTTTTTATTTATTTCAATTTTCTTTTGATAATTTTTTCCTTATTATTCATGGTGAGGCTTTTTTTTTATAGTAGGTAATGTGATGTCAATAATTGATCAAAATCTAATAATTAAATTTTCTAAAAATTGTCAATCAATTATTTTATTTCTAAGACATCTATGTTATTTTTATTTTTAGTGATATGATATTAATAATTTAAGATTAGTAATTATTTCAATTAAATAATTATTTCTAAAGTATTAACAAGTTTATTATTTAATACTTCATCTAAAAATATATTAAATTTATTATTTAATAATAATTAAAAAATAAAAATTAGGTTAAAGTTATTCTTTCAATAAAATATAAATGTGTGTATAGTAAAATATAGTTAGTATAAAATAATCTAAAATAAAAATTGATATGTTTATCCCTCTTTGACTTAAAAAATTAATGCCAAAAAAATATAAAACTATAAGGAAACAGTAATTTCGAGGGATCAAGTATATACCATATTAAAATGATAAACAAACGAATCATTTTGTCGAACTACCATTTAAATTATAAGTTGAGGAAGAAAAATAAAAATATTATAATATATTTTGTCACAAATTATAAAGACAAACTAAAGGATCATCTGTCTAACTATGCATAATCATGTAAATTATTAACTTATAAGGAAAAAATAATATATTTATAATGATAATCAAACTACATTTGTTAAACATAAATGTAAATTGTTAGTTTAGAATAAAAAAAAAAAAACAAAATATCTATAATGTATATTATTATGAATTATAATAATAAATCAAACTGAGAAATGTCATATGAATTATTAGACTGGAAAGAAATTTGATTTTTTTTTATAATATACATTATTATAAATTATATGAAAAAATAAAAACTGAAATAATTTCGATGTAATTAAAAATTAGTAAAGTTTATAACTTTAAAATAATATACACTACATTTTTATCAAATTAAGCATCATTTGTAATATTTGGCACAATTTGTCAACTTTACCATCACTTATTTAGGAGTCGAACTTATATTAAAATAAAGTATTAGTAAGGAAAGAAAAAGAAGTATTTTTATGACTGTTATTTATTGATAATGTTTTAATATATATATTTTATGTTCCTTAATTTTAAACAAAAAGCCTAAAATGACAACTATATTTTTATAGCATGTTACATAAATATATAAATCATGTAGCAAAATATTATATTTCACAGAAGTAAAAGAAAAAAAAAATAATATTAATATACAAAACTATTTTTAATACTAGTTGATATCTTTCAATATTTTAATTTATATGATTTAACATTATTGTATACACTAGTTGTACAAGACATAAATCAGCTGATCATATCAAAGTGTTTTTAAGTATCCATGTGACATTGCATATATTGCATGATTTGCATCATTCTGTTAGAGGTTTTGAAAGCTTATGAGGCCCCCACTATTTTGGCGATTAGTCTTTGACTTGTGGAATGGAAGTAGACACACATGCTTCCACATGAAAAGAAGAGAATCCAATCCTCACCAATCCATTTTCTATTCAATCAAATCCAATTTTATTTTATTTTATGTTTTGGTCATAATCATGCATTTACAATCACACCAGCCTCCTTTCATTCACAAATCACTACTACTATATGAGCACTTTCCTAAAAGTTCTTGTTACCCTCTCACTATCAATAACTACTAAGTACATTATATTATATTATTAGTTGAATGTTGTTAAAATACTGTTTTATATTTTGAAGAGAATATTAGTGTACAAGTCTAATGGTGTGTATATTTTAGGATGAGGAAATTTCACTTTGGTACCCATATTATACTTTTTCTATTTTTTGTTTATGTTTTTAATCCAAAGTTACCATTAGTTTTAATAAGTTTTTTTGTGAGATGATATCTCACAAGATAATCTCTCAATATATGATAATATCAATGTTACTGTTCGATGGGTTATTTAGACACTAGTTTTAAAATGGTATATAATTTGTTGAAATACGCCATCAAAGGCGGCTGCGAGAGAAAACGACAACTATTAGTTTTAATAAGTTACCATTAGTTTTAATAAGTTTTTTAACATTTTAGACCACCAGCGATTAATTTTTTTAACATTTTAATGACCAACCCTGATTAAATTAAAACATTAGGTACCAAAAGCAAAAAATAACTATATATATTTAGGGTACAAACTTATTTTTTCCCTTCTAGGATAATTATTTTATTAGATAGTTGCTTGTTTGAATGCATTTCACATAAAATCATTTCAAGAATTAGCCTATGTCAAATCAATGGTATAAATAATGGTTGGTTAGGATTTACTCACAATGAAAAAGTAAAAAGGTAGATAATCTGTCACAAATCCTGAACTTTTTAATTTTGTGTCATAGTATGATTTATGCGTTTGTGAATAGTGGGAACACATATTTCTATTTCTAGGAGTACCAAACGCATTTTGCATTTGGTTTTGGGTACCGATTGGAGCAAAATATTCTTTTGCGTTTGAGTATGGGACTCGATTGAAGTTTCTCTAAGTGTTGATACTCAAAATTTGTCGACCTGAATTAAGCCCATTAAAATTTAAAACAATTACGATACAATCAATACGGACGATATCCCTAAAACAATGATATTAAGAAGCACTTCAGCCAAAACGAAAGATGCAGATCTCAATACAGCTTCCTTTTATATGCCGATCTCATTTCAAGCTATGGGATAATCACACCGACATCTGTAGAAGCAAGACCACCCCCATTGTCGATCTCAACCACGATGATCTAAACACTGCATTAATGTGAAATGAGTTGTCGCCCAAAATCAATTCTCACCCCAAAAGGATAAGCCACTTGCCCAATTAGGACAAGTTTACTTGCAAGTTGCTAGGACACGTATCTCGATGCATGTCATTATTCTATTTGAAGCTGCAACGAGTCCCAAACATTTTATATTTTAAAGTCCTCTCCTTCTATAAATAGAATGGTTTGGAAGATTAAAAGAGAATCAAGTTCTTCATCGAGTTCTACATCAAGTTGTACTCTATAAGCTTTCAGTTCTCCATCGTTTCTCCATATACTACAATTTCTTGTTATGTTCCCGTTTTTCTCCAGCCTTCGAAAGGCTCTTGTATAAAAAAGAGGTACAAGAGCGGTCCAATCCATGAATAAAATCACCGATGCAGGCACCCTAAATTTTCTTTGTTATTTTTGTTATTTTCATGCTAAAATCCACCAACGCATTAAATCACAGACTAATTAACACACCAACGCTTCGGTGATCCGGTTGGCAAAAAACACACGCCGACAATAAGCTTACTAATACTTTATTAATAATTATTGTTTTTTATTTATACAGACAATATGAGTGTCAAATCAAAGATCATAAAATGAAGGATAATCCAATATTTTATATAAATATGGATAATAATAAAAATATTATTATATTTTTATAAAAGGAAACGGCGTTAACAGTTAATTAGAAAAATAGAAAAAAAAATACAATGAAATGAAAACTAAATAGTTAAAAAACATAGTTAAGAAATTTTCTGATCTATGTGTTTTAGAAAAATATTTTGAAATTTATATACTGTTTTAATTTATAAATAATTACCCTTGTAGTGATTAATCTATAACTATATTCATTAATTTTAAATTAAATAAAATTGTAGATTAAGTAGAAATTGAATAGTTGATTGTAAAATTTACTGAAAGGTCAATCTCAAATTATTCATATCATATCACTAAAATAAAAATAAAAATATATTATGTAGAAATAAAATAATTGATTGAAAATTTTCAAAAAGTTTAATCAATAAAGTTATATCAGCTATTGATACCTCATTATCTAAATCTAAAATAAAGTAAAAGTCTCATCATGAGTGGTAAAAAAATTAACAAATGAAAATAGAAAAAAAAAGTAAAAAAGAATATTTTAAAAAGTTTTCTTATTAAATAACTAATAATTGTTTTAACGAAAAACTAATTATTTTTAGAGTAAATACAAACTTTTTACTATTTTTACTCTATTTTCAATTCTTCACTATGTTGCCAATCCAACAAAGTTTAGGAAAATGCTTACATCAAACTCCAATAAAAAACTGTCATATCACTTTTATTTGACCACATCTAAGGGTTCATATCAAAACTAACAGATCTAATGACTTATGTTGATTTGAGGAAATCATTTTTCCACGGGATTGTAGCATTTTTCCAAAGTTTATTTATTTACTTTAAATAAACAATGGACAATTTTGAAATCAAATAGTAATTGCCTAATTGGTAAAGATTTTGAAAAAAAACAGCAAGAAATCAAATCTCGTCAATAAATGAGTCCCCCATCTACACCAGAGCCCACACAATCAACGGCCGGTTGGAATACAAAAACGTGAATTAAGTATGGAAACAGAGGCACCATATGATGAATTAAAAGAAAAAATCAGACGAAAGCTCCCAAGAGAAAAAGCCCATCCCCATTAGGCCATTACATCAGAATCTTTTTGAGCCCCTCAAATTTTGCTCACCTTCTTATATTTAGGCGGGGACTTGTAAAACTTTCACACTTTAGAAGAGGAAAAAAGAACAATTTTTTTTTTTTTAACCTTTTTTCATTTTTTTCAGCAAACAAGAAAATGTGAATTGATCTGTTTATTTTGTCTCCATTCTTGCAGAGCTAGAGTGCAGTGACCGTATCTTTTTTTCATTTTTCACTTTATTTCACTATTTCTTAGAGTTTAAACCCTACCCCAAATTTCCCCCTCCAAAGCAGACATTGTCTACGAACTAGATTTCGAGCTTTTTAGCTGTACATTCTTAATTTCAGCCCACACCTTATTAATGGCGGTAGACTGGTAGAGAGATTTTCAATTCAGCTCCGTTCAGATCTAAAGTTCAATTCTTTATAGAAAAAAAAGAAACCCATTTGTTTTCTCCAACTCTCACTGTCTTAGTCACTTTTCCTGAGAGGATGTCGGTGGAAATGGGAGGTGTTGGCGGTGGGCGCGGCGGAGGAATGGAGGTCGCCGCCGCCGCTGCCGGTAACATTGATCCGAGTAACCTCCACTTGAAGAAAGAGTTGACGCAGATACGAAAAGCTGCGAGGGTTTTGAGAGACCCGGGCACATCCTCATCTTGGCGGTCGCCTCTCCACTCTGCAAGATCTCTTACAAAACACCATTACGTACATCACCACAAAAGCGGACACATTGACGGTAATGAAATAATTCCTTCATCCGAACATAATGTCCAAAGTAATCCTAATAATCTTGCCAGTGGCGCTGGTGCCCTTTCCAGTGACAAGGGCAATGTGGGTTCTAAAGAAAGAGAAAAAAAGGTATTTTTGTACAACTGGAAGAGCCAGAAATCCGAGAGTGAGAAAAGCAAGCAGATTTGTAATGACGATGAGGATGACGGTGACAATAACGTTGATGATGTCGAGGTTAACAGCAAGGACGGAGGAGGCTCTTGTTCGGCTAGCCTCGATGTTGATAGCTCGAGTGATGCAAGGAATAATGCTTCACACATCTTTAGGTGTAAAAATACAGACTTCACGCCTTCCATCATGCGCACGATCAAGAAGAAGTCTAGAAGGATTAGCTACAGTTCCAGTGCAGTTTTAAGGCACCATAACGAAAAACTGCCGAAGCAGATCTTACTGGACAGGCACACAAAACACGCCTTGTTAAGGAGAGATGATTTGGTCAGCTTGGTTGACCAATCGGATGACGCCGAGGATTTCTGTAATTCTCCATTGCTTTCAAGATTCAAGAATAACGGTACCCGGGCCCACCTGGCAACTAAGATCTTATCAAAGAGCCATTACAGAAAAGAAGACGATTATAGTACTCAGAACCCAAGTTTGGTCGAGTCTTGGGATGGGACCACTGGCTCGTTTGCCGATGATGAGGTGGAAGACCAATTGGATTTACCTGGTCGTCAGGGGTGCGGGATTTCTTGCTATAACTGGTCGAGAAGGTCAACCCCAAAGTCAAGGGCTGGCTATGGAAGCTCATGTTCCCCCTCGTTTTCCGACACTTTACGAAGGAAGGGGAGTAGCATTTTCTGTGGGGCCCAGTCCATGCATCAAATGAGACGCCGCTCAAACAAGAGGAGATCCGGCCAAAGTCTGGTCCCACTCCTCACGAACAATGGTCAGAGAGGGTCGTCATCTGTCGGCAGTGATGATGAGCTGTCGATGAATCTTTGGGAGCTCGATTTTGAGGCATTGAGTCGTTTGGACGGGAGGAGATGGTCCTCGAGCTGTAGGAGTCAAGAGGGTTTGGAGATAGTCGCATTTAATGGCGACGTGCAGGAAGAGAGCTCGCCCGAGAATATAAGAAGCTTGAGCCATAAATACCGGCCGATGTTTTTCGAGGAGTTGATTGGTCAGAATCTAGTTGTCCAGTCTCTGAAGAACGCGATCTCGAGAAAAAGGGTGGCGCCTGTGTATCTCTTCCAAGGTCCACGTGGCACAGGGAAATCCTCGGCGGCTAGAATCTTTGCTGCAGCCATAAATTGCCTTGCGTCCGAGGAGAATAACAAGCCGTGTGGCGTCTGCAGGGAGTGTGCCGATTTCGTAACTGGAAAGAGCACTCGTCTTGTGGAAGCTGACGGGTCGACTAAAATGGGAATCGAAAAAATCAAGAATCTCTTGAAAAGTCTATTAGTGGGTCGCGAGCGGGCACTAATTCCGGAGTTTATGGTTTTCGTGGTCGATGAGTGCCACCTGTTGCCCTCGAGGATGTGGCTGGCTTTCCTCAGGCTTCTAGAAAAACCTTTGCCGCATATTGTATTTGTTCTTGTGACGAATGACGTGGATAACATGCCGCGTGCTGTGCTGTCCAGATGTCAGAGGCATCTTTTTAGTAAGATTGGGTGTGGGGACATTGTGGCTCGGCTTAGGAAGATTGGGGATGAGGAGAATTTGGATGTCGATTGTGATGCGTTGGATATGATTGCCTTGAATGCGGATGGCTCGTTGAGGGATGCAGAGACCATGTTGGACCAGTTGAGTTTGTTCGGGAAGAGGATTAGCATCTCCTTGGTGAACGAGCTGGTGAGTTCTAAGCGAACTTCTGTTATTATAGATATTTGTTGAATTTAATAATATGTTTGCATGTGTTGTTTTTATGGTGAACTTGTGTTCTGTAACTTGCAAATGTTATTGTTGTCCTGTTATTTGTTTGCACGTGTTGTTTCATTGTGATCTTGTGTTCTGTAGCTTGCAAATGTTATATTTGTCCTGTTTTCCACGGAACATGAATGAGGGAATCACCTTGAGGTTTAGTTTAATTGTACATCTATTTGAAGTATATTTCGGAAATTATAATTTATAACTACCTGCTAACTGTATAACTATAACCCTCTGTTGAAGCCTGTCTTGTGAAAAAAACAATCATCAATGGCTCTTTTTGGAATTATTCCTGAAAATTAGTCATGTGACAAAATATCAAACTGGATAAATATCATTTATGTGATTGACCATGTGAATGTACGTTTTAGAACTTGATCTTTATTCCCTTGTTAGTGTACTGTTGATAATTTTTTATGGATTGAGTAATTTGAGCTTTTCTATGTAGATTGGGGTTGTTTCTGACGAAAAGTTGTTGGAGCTATTGGAATTAGCCATGTCGTCAAATGCGACAGAGACAGTGATTCGAGCCCGGGAATTGATGGATTCGGGAGTGGATCCAATAGTTTTGATGTCTCAAATGGCAACCCTTATTGTGGATATTATTGCTGGAACTTACCACCATGATTCTTTCCTTGGTGGAAGAAATTGTAAGTCTCACTTTTATCCCGTTATTATGGTCCTTCATATTATTCCATATTGTAGCTTATGTTACCATATGAAGCATATGGTCGAGTTTGGAATGTGGGTTAGTGTACTTGCCTATTGAAATACAATAGTTGTTCTGGATTGAATACAACTTTATTTTCGGCCTTAGGAGGATTTTTTCTTTCTCTCTTTTTTTTTTTTGTTGTACATATTAAGGGGTTCAATATTGGTGAATGTCATTAATTGGCCCTAGAATACTAAGAAACACTATTAAGGAACATGTATTTACATGCCATAAGGATTCTGGTTATGTATAATTCAATTATGGCTTCATTCATTTGGAGGTTATTCACACTTTTGTAGCAAATCACATAACATTCCCCCAAAGAGCTAAGAAATAAACTCTCTCAGACTTCATGTACATCTATCTATTTATTGCCATTATCTTCCTTTTTTATGATTTATTGGTGCTTTTGATAGTGGGTCATTATATTTTCTTGTTAGAATGTGTAGGTGATTTTGGAAGCCTTTAAGAGGCAACTTAAATTAACAGAAAATGTTGTAGAACTTCTCTTTACAAGTAATCCTTATTTTCGGCATTTACATATGATATCTTTTTACAATTAGTCGATTGTATTTATCAGTGTCCGAACGAGAATTAGAGCGGCTGAAGCACGCATTGACCCTTCTCTCGGAGGCCGAAAAGCATCTCCGGGTTTCGTCTGAGAGATCAACATGGTTCACAGCCACTCTACTGCAATTGGGCTCTTTTCCCTCATCTGATCGAACACACTCGGGCAGCAGCCGACGTCAGAGTTCTAAGGCAACTGACGAGGACCACACGAGTGTAAAATCCACTCACCGTATTTCAACCAGCAGCAAAGACNTAATAATTCTGGTTTTGAACTGGACACGAGACGAATCGAAGCCCAGGGGGGTGATGAGCTGTCAGTGGTGTACTCACAAAATGAGGGCGAAATGCGGAGGACGGGTTTGAGATGTGGTAATTCGAAGATGTTGGGTAATGTTTGGGCACAATGTATTGATAAGTGCCATTCGAAGACTCTAAGGCAGCTGCTTCATTCGCATGCGCGTCTTGTGTCGATATCTGAAGTTAAAGGTAATGGTGGGAAAGACTTTACGAAATATGTTTTCTTCCATAGTTTTGGTTTTATTGGGAATTTGGCCTTATTTGAGAATAATGAGTTATCTTTTGAAATTATAAATACTCCCTTAAAGACTTCATATTGATTAAAAATGCTCACTGGTGTGTTTTTGTATCATTCTATTAAGGGTGTTATTTGTTGGAGAGGGTTGTACTTGTAATTTTGAAATATCAAGGGGTTTACTTGGTGATTTTTAAGAGTAAATAGTTTCAGGACTTTTATGCATCATTTTTTGGCAGCTGATTTTGCACGACTGAAGGATATTGCGTTAGATTAGATGAATAAGGATAGCATACTCTAAAAGGAAAAAAAAATAAAAAATCTTTAATTGCACCATGTATAGGTGTTAAACGAATTTCTAATGATCATGCTTCTCCTTCCCACTGCAGGTGGTTTTGTGGCTCACATTGGATTTCTCGACAAAAGCATCAAAGCCCGAGCTGAAGGTTTCCTCAGCAGCATCACAAACTCGTTCGAAATTGTCCTACGTCACAATGTGGAGGTCCAAATGATCCTATTGCCCGACTCTTTCAGTCAAAAACACACGGACACAAACAAAAACACATCATCCCTCTCTGAAATACCCGAAACCCGTCAAACCAGGCCCGTTGGGCCCATTTCCGAAATTCCAAACACGAGCACGGCCAAGTCAGAAAAGTTTCCTGGGAAAAGAATCGAATCAATCATTCACGAGCAAAGACTGGAGACAGCTTGGCTGCAGGCGGTGGACAGGGGCACTCCCAGGTCAGCTGGGGCCCGTTTGAGGCCCGAGAGGAATCAAGTGCTCCCACAAGATGGGATGAATGAATCTGGGCCGTTGGATCGTGTGGAGCAGTGGGAGGATGATTTGAACCGTGAGATCAAGGCCTTGAAGGTTAATGAAGGAATGGTGAGCCCACACAAGGATCAGATTGTTGCTAGGAGGGTGGAGCCCAGCTTTTTGCATAATAACAGCTTCACTCGAGATAACATGTGAGTCTTACAAATCTGCTTAATTTATTATGTCTTTCATTTTTTTTTTATTTTTTTATTTTTTTGTACTGTCTGAATAGGGAGGGCAACAAGTTGCTAGTGTACTACTTCACACACACTAACACATTAAATGTATTTATTGTATTTTTGTTTTTATGTTTTTCGTTATTCATTCGTACTAGTTTGATAAGTGAAAATAACAATACATGAACCTACGAATTTGATTTAAGAAGACGAATTTGGGTACTTGTCGACCATTTGGAAGTAGGAGAAACAATGGATATATCAACTATAGCTATGGAGAGCCTTAATTTAAACTTTTTAAATTGATCAAGTTGTAATTATCATCTTCTCGAAGCATATTTTAGAGACATTTTCTCTGTTAGTCGGAAGTTTAGAAATGTACAATGAAAATATTGTGGTCCTGAGATCCCCATATGAACTTGAATCTTTTAATATCATGATTTCTGCCTGTAATATCTTACATAGGTGGAGTGGCCATTATATTCAATTTTGGACCATGGAACTTAACAGAAATTGAAATTGTAAATTCTACATGTGATCACCAATATTTACTTATTCTATTATTATTATTTTTTTTAAAATTTAGTTGTTCTATTTTGTTATTTACTTTGTAGGGGATACGAATCTGGACCAGGAGGAGCCGGTTGCGGTGGGATGTTCTGCTGGAACAACAGTAGAACTGAAAGAAGCCGAAAGGTACTAAATATTTCACATTTATCCTCAAATCTTGCATGTAAAGGATCAAATCATGTATAGATAATTACAACACTACTCCATTGATTTTTTGCCTGATTTTTTTTTTTTTTTTGTTAAATAAGTTATGTTTGAAAATTACAAATACCATTTAGATGCCCTTTTAATTTTACAAATTATTCGAATTGTAGTTTGCAAAATAGAGACATTTTTGTCTGGGGTACCTTTCGATTTTTATAAGAAACAACATTTTACTCCATAACTCCTTTTCACTCAGGTGCTGCAAAACCAGACTAAGTCAGGAACAACACCACTGCGCGGGCACAAAAGCAGTCGGTTTTCGTGGTTTGGAGAGTGTGCAAAATCAAGGAGAGGCAGCAGATACAATAGATAACACATACAACCGCACAAATGTGATGTTTTTAAGCCGATGCTTCATGTTTCTTACTGGGATATTTTGTGTATTTATGGTGTTAGCCCTCTTAAAAACATATAAATATGACAAGAGACATTGGTTGAAGTTTGGTGTAAAGTTAGTGCATTAGGGCCTCTCTGCATTTTTGTAGGTCCAGCAGATTCGATGGCATCAAATATCAATAAATTCGAGCCATCGAAGTGTTTAGAGCGTGAAGTTACAAGATTCTTGGAGACACTGTACTCTTCTTTAATGGATATTGTTTTTACATGTTGAATTTTGAAATCAGGCCTTTGATAGTGATTTTGTTCATGTTGGAAAAGGGTTTGTTCTGTTTTGAGCTATGAGCCATTGTCTTCACCGAGTGGTGCTTGTGCGTAGTTCGTTCTCTTTTTGTAAGGCTTATATGTATTTTTTAGTTTGATTCCTATATAATTATGAAATCTATGAAACGGTCAGGTGGAGAATTGTTCATTTTATATCTCAAAAATACTGATTGTCGTCATCCGTGTTGAATTGTTGTTTTGATCCTTTTTGTTTTAAGATCTTTTTTTATCCAAATTTTAAGGGTAAGATTTTTCAGAGAAGAAGATAATTGATTGTAAATTGTAAAATCTTTGGGAGATATTTCACTCCATGCATTATAGAGATATTACAGTTAAATGTCTTTGGAGAAATTTTTTCACAAGTTTTGATTTATTTACGTTGTTGAATATTTTAATATTTCTTTGTCGTTTATTAATAGTTTATGCTTGATATATGAACAAAAAATTTATAGACATGCCATAAGATCTCACAGTATAAACACGTTATAAACTATAAAGAAGCTAAACGTAAACTTAAAGAAGAGATAATTCATAAATTTATAAAATATATTTTTAATGTAAATTAATTTTTTTATAAGATTTATATTTATGCAAAAAGTTTCAAAAACTGTAGTATAAATGTAAATTAGAAATTAGCTTATGTTAAAATATTATTTCAAGAGTTAAAAAAGGTTTCAGTTTTTTCTTGAGCTTATGTGGAGGCCCAACTGGTTGCTTATCATCTTCTAGCCCAGCCTTCTGGGTAAGGCCCAAATGTTTGTGCATAATTGAATGGCCACTGGCCAGTACACAAGTCGACGCTTTCCATTGCATTTTCACCTGAAAGGGGAGAACTTGGAAGAACGAACGAGCAGCAGCTAGCAGCACTAATGGCGAAGCCACTGGGACCCACAGGAGAGTTTTTCCGGCGGCGTGACGCGTGGCGGAAGCACCCCATGCTGACCAATCAGTGGCGCCACGCGACCCCAGGCCTTGGCATCGCCGTCGTCGCCTTCGGCATCTACCTCGTCGGCGAGGCCGCCTACAACAAGATCTACGCGGCCCCTAAGTCTCATTCTCAATCCACCTCCTCTGCTTCGCACTGAGACCAGCAATGGCTTCATCTCATGGTACGTGAGGTCCAGTCTGTTTCATTTCTATCACACTTTCAAAATTTTAATGGTGTTGGAATACTCACGGTTCTTTTTGTTTCTAGAGATGGAAATTTGGATATTGATGAATGTGTTGATTGCGACCTTGTTGCCTGATGTGGTGTTTTGATTGATCTTGCGGTGCTTTTTATTGGTCATTTCTGTGGGCTAGGTTTTTGTTCTCTCGAGGTGCTGGGTGATGTGTAAATTGATGCGATAAATCCCTTTTAGCAGCAATCGATGTAATTACATGCATATTTCCTGTGAACTGGAGTGCATTTGTTTGCAAGATTTTCCTTTCTTTTGCATATGCACCTGAATAATAGCTGCAGAATTGTTGTGAAGACACAATTAGATGCTGAGTCTAGTTGAAAAGAAAACAAGACATTGAAGACAAGCCCTATAACCAATCAGTTGTCAATGGATTGGGCTAGAACTCGTATTGGCCACCTTCATTGCATTGTCCCTTGTTTCTTTTTGCTACAGGCGATAAATCTCATCCCTTCTTGTTCTGGAGCTTCTGGATTTTGGAGCAGCTTATGAAATTTATTGAGTTCTGAACTGCTTACGAAGTTCTTCCAAAATACTTTCTTATTTTTTTGGGTCCATTTTCACCGTCCACCAATCATATGCTGTTATACCAAGTGAAAAGTTTCTGGAGCCAAACGCTATTCCTCATTGCAGTGTTTCGTGCCAGCCTTAATGTCATTGAGTTATAGTCAATGGGTTGTAACAAAACAATCGTTCCAACTTCCAAGGCATGATCATGGTTTTCTTGCACATCTTAGTTTGGTGCTTCAAGGAAATTAATTAGTTGAGTGATCGTTTGAGCTGTTAGATTAGGCAACAACCTAATATAGAAAAACAGTAGGTGGCTGCCTAGGGTGACCATTGCTAAGGGGGTAAAGCCGTAAAGGTGCTCGACCATGTAGAGTACAAGTCTAATGAGTAAAGAGGTAACAGAATGATTAAGACGAAAGAGTCATTTAATAATCAACCAAACTAAAACAAAATTAGTTATATAACGGCTGTATACCACAGCTCGTCATATCAATAACATGAGTAAAGAATACAAGTTGAGTGTTTATGTCAAGTGTCAAAAGGACTTGGTTTCATATAGACTTTTATTGGTTCTTTTTGTTCTAAGTAGCATATTTGCACAATTGTTTCATACATTTTCAGTCCCTGTAATGGAGCAGTTATAAAAAGTAATATCAGATAAATGGTAATGGAAATACTATTTTTCTAACATGTTCTTTTACTTCTGGCCGAAAAATATATCTCAAGTAATTGCATGTGTATCAACTCTCTTTGCAACGCGAATGGAACAAAATATATGAAGAGAGAAACTCTAGTCTGGTTGTCTTGTAACGAGACTGAAACTTATGTTTTGTACTCGATTGAACGATTTTTGGATTCAATGTTGGCTCTTTAACTTATCTTGGTCGACAAGTTAATCATTAACCATTAATGGCGTTTCTTTGCTTGCTAAAGAATTGTGTCTCCTCCAGTTGGCCATACCTGGCTGCAATTTTTAGCCTGGTTCTTTCCCATGATTTCCTTTTTGTAACAAACAAATTTATAGGGAAATTTCTAGCTAGCAACTTGTGATATTCTGCAACTATGTTGGATATTGTTTGTCACTTAGATGGATTTCAAACAAACCCGGATATTATTTAACTGCGATGCTTTGTTCTTTTGCCCCCTCAAGTCGTATGAGAGTGGTTTAGAAATAGAGTTCCAATAATTGTCCAGATATACCAATGTTAATATGTCTAATGTCTAGAAAATTTTTTGGCATAGGTTTAAAGGCTTTACTTAAGGTCGGGGCTTGTTGGTAAATGCCTCATTTGCTGGATAGTGGATATGCTAAGAACACAAATTCCACTATGTTTGGAAAATGTGATATTTATCGTTTTATAAACTTCAGTTCACTTTTGTTCCAGCAAGCATGTTATATACTGATTGTGACAGTATTAAGGAGATTCATCTGTTACGAGGTAATGCATTTCTTGTTTTCGTCTTTGATACTATCAATGCCTGCAGATAACCTTAGCCGAAATAAACTCGAAAAGGATATGACCATAAATTTAGCATGATAGTTTTTTGATCTATGGACCGTCTCTCATTTGCAGACACGAGTATTTATTGTACGAGTATGAATGAGTATATTTGTTGGTTTGAACTGTGGGAGCAGAAATACACTCTGAGATTTGTTATTTGCTATTGTTGATGATGCAGGTGTGGGTGTGGTGGCGAAGATTGAAGTATTTTAATGTTTCTCACTTTCTCTTTGCTTCATTTTGGAGTTAAAATAATGGATTCCTCAGAGGTTTTGTTACCTTGAATATCTTCAACTTTGTTTTTATGTCGAGATACAAAGAACAATGTTTGGTAAGGGATTGTCCATGACTTGTAATCTCTCTCTCTCTCTCTCTCTCACACACACACACACACACGCAACAATTTAATAGAAAAAGTGAAAAAGGAAAGAGAAATTCTTCTTTATTTTAGTTATCACAAGTCATAAATGTGTGTGTAATTATTTTTAAAATTAATAACTAATTAATTAATTTGATGATCTCGGTCTTGGCATTAATATATATAAAAAATAACAAGTAATTATACTTATTGATGTACTTAGGAAGTTATGATTAAAATTTATCTCTGTTGTTTCTGATTGGAAAATGAAGACTGAGTTGATAACTTATCTTATAAGCAAATTATGGAGAAAAATGTAAATTTGGTCCCATAATTTTGATTGTTTCTCACATTTGGTCTCAACCTCGTCATCTATGATCTTTTTTAATTTTTTATTGCAAAAATAATTTCACGTCCGTCAAAACTAGTTAGACTAACGCGTGTAATATACTAATATTTTGCTAATTACAAATTTTTGTATGAATCGGACAAATAATTTAGTGGGTCGATTCTTCATACTTGATAAAAATGCAAACTTATACTAGTACATATTATATTATTATTTATATTATTTTTCAATATATATTATTTATATATAAAAGTATGTATATTTGTTAAAAAAATATAATTATCTAATATAATCATCATAATTTAATAAAAATAACTTATCTTATCTAGGGAAATGCAAAAAACTATGACTTTTCATATTAATTTATTCCTAAAAATAAGTCGCTCTCTCTCTCTCTCACACTGTCTCACACAGAGAATATGAGTGTCTATATGAACCTGTATGCATATATACTGCGTACACAGCGATACCCGATCGCCTACTTTTCTGGGTTCAGACTGTCATCCGCCATATCTGTCTCTCCGGACACTCACTAACACAACACTGAAGCGTATTTCATGGGCGGTGCTTCGAGTCCTTGCGGATCCATGGAGGAGTTCCTCAGCAAGTGTCAGCCGTCCGGTGACGCAGCCTACAGTGCGCTCCGATCACTCCTGGAACGCCTCGAGGACCCGAGTACCCGGACCGATGCACGTGTCTTCCTGTCGGAGCTCCACAAGCGCTTCGAATCTAAGGAAGCCTCCGAGAGTTGTCTCCGGACCTACCATTTCCAAATTCAGGACATCTATCTGGGACCACATCAGGAAGGTAATCTCGTCTTATCGATATTGGAACCTCATTTTCGCAATTGTATGCGTGTGTGTCTGGATGATTCTGGTTGTGATTTGAGGAACAAGTGTTTTGCCCGGCAATTTAAGGAGATTACACTGTGAATATTGGAATTTTAGGAAACAATGAAATGTGTTGATAAAGTGGTTCGTTTTCGGATATATGTGATGTTGGGAGAATGTGCATACTTCTGACAATGAGTGATTGCTTGTAGGAATGCTTGTTCAAATTTAGCTGATTTGAACGCACACCATTAGACGTTTGTTCTTTTCAGCTTGTGTTGTTATTTTTGGATTTCGGGAGACCGATGGCTAGTTTGTTTCTGAGATATTTCTCTTGTTTGTTTGTTTGTTCATTAAGATTGCTGAGTCAACAACATCTCCATCTATTTGGTTGTCCATACGAGTTTATGCTCTCTTATTTATTAAGTACTAGATCAACTAAATTCACTCGTTATGAACAAACAATCACTCATTGTCAGATGTCTTTTGTTTATGCCTTCTTTTTTCACACTTGTAGCTGTATTCTCTTTTGTTTCTCCTGTTACAGATTTCCAGAAGAGGAACAAACTTACGATGATGGTGATACCCAGTATCTTTATGCCTGAGGATTGGTCTTTCACCTTCTACGAAGGACTTAACAGACATCCAGATTCAATTTTCAAAGACAAGTCTGTGGCCGAACTTGGTTGCGGCAATGGATGGATATCCATTGCGATTGCAGAGAAGTGGTCACCCTCTAAGGTCTATCATTCCTTGATATTCTCCACTAATGACATTCCCTTTGTTTTTTGCATCTTAATTCATGTCCTAACATCCTGTTTTATTTCGAACTTCTGACTACTGTAATTAGAGACCGAAAGACTAGTGCGAAGAGGTTTCTTAACGCATTCAAACTCCGCTATGCAGGTATACGGGCTTGATATTAATCCAAGAGCAATAAAGATTTCTTGGATAAATCTTTATTTGAATGCTTTGGATGAAAATGGGCAACCAATTTATGACGGGGAGAAGAAATCTCTACTTGATAGGGTTGAGTTTCATGAATCTGATTTGCTGTCTTACTGCAGAGACAACCATATAGAACTTGAGCGAATCGTTGGATGCATACCACAGGTAATTCGTCGATTTAATGAAATGCTTCTGCAAATTTTATCAAGTGTGTACTTCACATGTCTGCATAAGTCCTTAAAATATATATATGTTTGTTCTCGTGTTTAAAAAAATATTTTTATGCAAGCTGTAACACTTTGATTATTTTTCCGTGCAGATTCTTAATCCTAATCCAGATGCAATGTCTAAAATTGTAACAGAAAATGCTAGCGAAGAATTCTTACATTCCCTGAGCAACTATTGTGCCCTCCAGGTTGGAGCTTGCTTCATTTTCATTATTCTAGTATACCAGATATACTGGACTTCGACATAGATTCCTTTTTTCATTCCTTCTTCTTTTGTATTTGAATATATTTATACTGACAGATAATAACTGGATTATATATTAAAAGTATATTTACACAATAAAACTATGGTTGGAAAATTTTATGTAAAATCTCATATGTTATTTATTGCAAAAAAGAAATCTATCTCCTGGGAAAATTTCTGTCTTGCATACTTGTATTATCCAGTGTGTTCACTGATGCTTCATTGTGGAATTCCATCTTTGTTGTCAATTGGCATTTACATTATTCTGTTAGCCTACTTGCAATGGCTACACAATGAACTATCTATTCATTCAAACGCTGAAGATATTTAACACTTTAAATACCTTTTGTGCTGACATTCTGAATTGAAACTTATAGGGGCTGTTTTACTATTTCATTAATTTATGTTATACTTCTTAGGGCTTTGTTGAGGACCAGTTTGGTTTGGGACTGATTGCAAGGGCTGTTGAAGAAGGGATATCTGTAATTAAGCCTCAGGGGATTATGATCTTCAATATGGGAGGCCGTCCAGGACAAGCCGTATGTGAACGTTTATTTGAGCGCCGTGGCCTGCGTGTTAATAGGCTTTGGCAGACTAAAGTTCTCCAGGTTCTACTCTAACTTGACGGCTTTGATGATTACATGAAAGAATCTATCTATAAAGATCTCTTGTTGCAGGCTGCTGACACAGATATCTCAGCACTAGTTGAGATTGAAAACAACAGTCGACACCGTTTTGAATTCTTCATGGGACTTGTTGGAGACAAACCAATTTGTGCTAGAACAGCATGGGCTTATGCCAAAGGCGGAGGTCGTATATCTCATGCTTTATCAGTGTACAGCTGTCAACTCCGTCAACCTAGTCAGGTAAGATGTTTCTAATGTGCTTTTGTGATCCCAAGCAAAAAATCTTCATGCAAATCTCTCTAGGGACATGAGGCATCATATTGATCCTTATTCTGTAACAGGTGAAGAAGATTTTCGAGTTTCTCAAAAATGGCTTTCATGATATTAGCAGCTCTTTGGATCTGTCCTTTGAAGATGACTCTGTTGCGGATGAGAAAATTCCATTCCTAGCTTATCTTGCGAATGTTCTAAAAGAAATCTCATTTTTCCCATATGAACCACCTGCCGGAAGCAGACGATTTCGTAGTCTCATATCTGGCTTTATGAAAACATACCATCATATTCCACTTACTGCAGATGTAAGGAAGTTTCTATATCAATGTATCTTGATATTCCTTTTTGCTGTGATTAAGATTTCTTACCTGATATAAGTTTTTTGGTGTTTGCTTCATGTTAGCCTATACGGAAACCTACCTTTTTAGATTTCTTAGTTGCAAAACTATGTTGAGTATAAAAACTGGAAATACGAAGTGTGGCATGAATAGAGCCTCCCTAAACACACCAAGTGCAAAAATGTAACACAGTCCCAGATGCTTTAACATTAGTTGTGTCTGTTTTGTGTATATATCTAAATTGCACGGTTTTGGGTGCAGAGTTGCATGTGCATGGATCGATGTTTAGTCTGTGATATCTTTCTCGCTATAATTTTGTAGCGAAACAAGATTTTGGAAGAATGAGTTTTTGAGTGTTATAGGATATGTGATAAAAAGGTGATAATTTTAAATTGATATAAGAAAAAAGTTAATTGAACAGTTGGTGATTGAAAATATGTGCATGAGTCTACAGTAAAACTTATACGCAAATATTTAGTTATTATTAATCATTTGATGGATATTTCTCCATCTTGACAATCTTCGCCATAGTTGAATCAAGACTACCAAATGTTCACCAGCTAAACATGGGGACATAATTGGATAAAGTAGATTATTGTTATTTTTAATTGTCATGTGTCATGTCATTATTTGGGAAGACCTACTTAGAGAAATATGACAAGCATTAGGCTAGTCTGTTTGTTTTCCTGGATGACTGTTGTTTTTTTTGTCGGAGTCGTTCTCTGGTGGTTGGGTTATTATTATATTCGAGGAATATGACCATCTGGTAATTGTATATGCTGCCCACAGGGTAGCAGCTCTTTTAGCACTCTGCTTTATGGGTTTATGTTCGTTCACTACATATGAGAATTTGAGTAGGAATTCTGTAGTTAAAAAGGCTATCAAATGCTGTGGTAGGGTGATACAAGGAGTCTTCTGGTTGTTTGAGGTGGGGTGAGGTGGAGAAGGTGAAGGGTGCTCTTTCTCTTTGTAAAGAGTATTATCATAGCATATTGTTCTTCAGTAGAATAAAGTGAAGTTATTTCCCATAAGAAGGCATCAAGAGTTAACAAGTTCTATGTATACCATGTGACAACTTCATAAGGCACTAAGACTTCACTTTTTCTATATATTTGACTCTAATGACATGCTATTCTCTCGTGTAGTTGCATCTAATGTTGTGTGCATATCTGGATGATTTACCTGATAAACTAACTATTCTTCCACAAGGATAGTCAAATGGAATTTTTAAGATGCCTTACACTATAAAATTGATACAATCTAATTTATTCTTTGATGTTGCCTTTGTCGAGCTAGAACGTTGTTGTGTTTCCTTCGAGGACTGTGGCTATAGAAAGCACTTTACGTCTGTTGTCCCCACGCCTCGCCATTGTTGATGAACAATTGTCTCGACATTTACCAAGGCAATGGTTGACATCCCTAAATATTGAGGTATGGTGATTATGAAATTGGTTTGGTCTCCCTCGCACCATCTTTTGATCTTTGTGTTCTGCAAATTGTTACTTACAGTTCAGATAAAAAAATCAGCTTCTTCTCCAATCCTTTGAGTTTGAACCAATGAATTTCAGATTAATACTCTAGATAATTTTGTAATAGCATCCAAATAAAATCAAGTTATGCATTTATGAAAGAAATAATAATGTTAACAAAAAACAGAGTCAGCAGACAGGATAGAAGTGGTTTTTATTTTTTATTTTTTATTTTTATTTTACTGATGGGAAGTAGAAGGAATCAATGAAACGTTACTGGTTATCAAATAGTTTTTGCTATGCTTCCCCACTTCTTAGACTTCTTGTTATTGAAGGTGAACGTTTGAAGGTTTGAACTTCAACTATACGTGTTCTGTTATTTAACAATTCTGGAACGACTTATTTCACAATTCTAGACATGGATCATAAGCTACGTATTAGATGTGCTAAGAGATGTTCAGTTCACTATTCTGTGCAGGAAATGCATGTTTTTTAATCTTTCAAACATGCCCAAGTTACATATAACATATAACTATAAATCACTATAGAATTGTTTTCTCTATACTGCTACTACATATTTAGGTAGCCTCAGCATTGGCACTCTTGGAGATCAGAGAAGAACATTAATCAGTCATAAGATTCCTTATATCCCTGCTTATTGAGCATAATGCATATGCAGACTTGGGATGTTTTTTTTATCCCTTTTGAAATCTTTAAATTTCCTCTGCAGAAGGCAGAAAGTGGAAAATCTGTGGATGAAGCAATTACTGTCATCGAGGCACCACGCCAGTCAGATTTGATGGTAGAGCTGATTAAGAAGTTGAATCCAGAGGTAGTAGTTACTGGAATGGCTCAATACGAGTCTGTCACGAGTTCCTCGTTTGAGCATCTCTTAGACATTACAAGAGAAATCGGATGTCAGTTGTTATTGGATATATCAGATCACTTTGAGCTGTCTAGCCTACCAAGTTCCAATGGAGTCTTTAAATATCTTGCTGGAAATACTCTGCCTTCACATGCATCTATTGTATGTGGCTTGCTGAAGAACCAGGTACTTAAACTGCTGTTGATGCCATAGGTGCTGATTAAAATACTTGAGACACACACCACAGATAACAAACACTTTAACGTAAGTTTTATTGTTAAAGGGGAAAAGAACTTGCTGTCTTTGTAAAATCGAGTATATATGTATCTTTGAGAATTGTTTTATTGATACCTTGAGAAGACTGATACAAACCTCAAGGGGTTCTATTATGTGTAATTCTGGGAAGATAATTGGGTCTGTTTGTTATTATGCTACTCTTCAAGGAGACTTTTGTGATTATCCCCAAAGATAACTGGGATTGATTGTTATTATGCTACACTTCAAGGTTGTTTGTATATGTGCAATTCTGGGAAAAATGACTTGAGTCTATTTGTTATTATGCTACACTTCAAATCCCAGGTTTATGCAGATCTGGAGGTGGCATTTGTGATATCAGAGGAAGAAGCAATGTTCAAAGCATTATGCAAGACAGTGGAACTTCTACAAGGGAGTACTTCTATAATTAGTCAGTTCTATTACGGGTGCCTTTTCCATGAGCTTCTAGCTTTTCAGCTTTCTGATCGACACCCACCAGCACAGGTTAGCCTGTCCTGATTTTACTGATACTTGGTGCTCATATTTGCAAATTATTTTATTACTGGGGGATCAGGATTGGCAAATAATGTATTAAATATCAAAGAAACCTACATTCTTTTAATAACTTCATGAGGCATTTTTTATGTGCAAATGTGAACCAACAGCAATTCAAATCCCTATTTTTTTGAAACACGTGATTTCACAGGCCTTATTTACATAAGTCAACTAATGACTTGCGAATTATTTTGCCGACTTAATATTAGCGTTGATCAAACGATGCATTCTTGTTCTGTTACACCAATCTAAATTTGCAATATACTATAAGTTTTTTTTTTTTAAATAATCTAATGACGTGCAAGATTTTTTCTCATCGCCAGAGAAATACTGCAACTACAAGAGCTTCTAAGGTCAACGGCTTCTCCACTTCCACCATCTCCATGCTCGATCATGCTGAGTTGGCAGTAAATGAACCCGATGAATCTCGACTGGTGCATATGGACGTTGATCAGATCTTCTTGCCCATAACTACACCTGTTAAGGCCTCCATCTTTGAGAGTTTTTCAAGGCAGAACATAACAGAATCTGAAACTGACATCACAAATGGCATCAAACAATTGGTCAGCAGCAGTTATGGCTTCCCGTCATCCACCGACACGGAACTTGTATATGCCGACCGACCAATTTCACTTTTCAGCAAGTTAGTACTGTGCTGTATCCACGAAGGTGGTACCCTCTGCTTCCCAACCGGTACCAATGGAAATTACGTCTCTGCTGCAAAATTTTTAAATGCGAAAATTGCAAAAATTCAAACCAACCCAGGAGAAGGATATAAACTGACAGAAAAAACACTCACGGCTGCACTAGAGGGTGTTAAAAAACCATGGGTCTACATTTCAGGCCCGACAATCAACCCCACAGGCTTACTTTACAGTAATGAAGATATTAACAAATTATTATCCGTGTGCGCCAAGTTTGGGGCAAGAGTAATTCTGGATACTTCGTTTTCGGGTGTGGAATTTAACTCCAAGGGGTTCGAGGGGTGGGAATTGGGACCAACCCTGGAAAAACTTTCCTCTGCTAGCTCAGCCTTTTGCGTTTCACTTCTTGGGGGATTGTTCTTTAAAATGCTGACGGGTGGGATTAATTTTGGGTTTCTGCTCATCAACCAGCCTTTGCTGGTGGAGGCATTCCATAGCTTTGCGGGCTTGAGCAAGCCTCATGGGACGACCAAATACACTGTTAAGAAATTGCTGGATCTAAGGGAGGAGAAAAGAGGGGACCTGCTGAATGCGATTTCTGAACAGACGGATATTTTGGGTAGTAGATATAAGCAATTGAAGCAGGTAATTACATTTTGTACTCGTTTTATTTAAAATTGTCAATTATAGAAAAAGTACCACCTAAAAGAAGCATTTAGATATCAACGTTACAAGTCCCTCTTTATCAGTTGTTCACTTCTTTTACAATTTTCTGCAAGGAAAAAGAGGTATATGAAATTTTGGCAAATAATTGGGGATTTTCCGTAATTATTAATTCCATTGCTGACAAAATAACTATCTCGTGATCTCGTAAATACCAGGCACTGGAAAGTAATGGATGGGATGTGCTCGAGGCTCAAGCGGGCGTATCAATCATAGCAAAACCGACAGCTTATCTTGGAAAGACCATCAAGATCAACAAAGGCATGACCACCCAGGAAATTAAGCTCGATGACTTGAATATAAGAGAAGCCATGCTTAGAAGCACTGGCTTGTGCATCAACAGTGCCTCGTGGACTGGAATCCCCGGTTACTGCCGTCTCACCATTGCCCTGGAGGAAGGTGATTTCAAACGCGCACTAGATTGCATTTCTAAATTCAAAAGCTTATTTGGTTAAGTAGAATAAAGAAAAAAAGGAAAATCACATTTTTTGTTGCTTTTCCACTCAAACTCAGTAGTTATTTCTTTTCACAACTTTGGTGTTGTGAGATGAATTTGTTCAGAGTGGCCGGATAGTAAGAGCTGCTCTTGTTTACTGCAAACTGGATTCTGCTTTATGGCCCTTATATTTGAATAATTTGTTGCTTGGTTCAAATAAATGCAATCTTCATCAGACTTGGGAATAACTTCACCCGAAAAATCATTCTAAACAAAATACGAGATGAAATTACAATTGAACTCAACAAATGGTAGGGAAAAAAGGGTTTTTACGTAAAGGTAATAGGACTGTAGAAAAATCAAAACCCATGTAGTTTCTCTAACCTTCCTCGAACCCCCTGTTCATTTACTGAGAGTCGCCTGGTTTACTCCACCATATAAGGATTGCTTGGTCCCTCGTATGCGTTATCTTCCCAGCCTTGATCCAGTCGCCTAGACATAATTGGGCCTCTAAGCAATCGGGAGACATAGTTGATTGTTTCTCGCTCAATATGTTGCCCTCTGTGTGAAATACTTGCTCCTGGGCAACTGTCGAGGCCGGACAAGCGAGAACCTCTTTTGCCATCCTTGATATCACCGGGAACCTGTCTTCGCTTGCATGCCACCATTGTAGCGTATGCTCGATATTAGCAGTGAACGGAGTCTCTAGATAATTCTCGAGCTCGTGTTCTAGGAATTTTTTCCTTTCTCTTCTCTTCTCTTCCAACACTTTCTTCATAAAATCTTCATAGCACTTGAACTTCTTCGCACTATTCCCAGTATCCTGTGTTTTGGGTTCGGGTTCGGTAAACTTTTCACCATACTTGGACTTGTACTCGTGGTAGAAATTATTCAAGTGCTGTCTAATGTCGTTCTCGATAAGAGTTGGTTCAGGCGAATGCTCATCTTTGACCGGGACGACTAACTGATCATAATACGTCGTCAAATGATGTCCCAGAGCATCGAGTCTAATCCAAGGGTTGAAGACAATAGCAAGTAAATTGATCATTGGGAGGCTCACACAGTGTCTTCCTAATCTGTTCCTCATCGCCTCAACACAATGCCTTAGATCCTCATCCTCCGAAATCTGACTCAACTTCGAGCAAAGGAATGCAAAATAATATAATGGTAAGCTCGCATTCGAGTCATCACCATTTAACATTAACTTGATTCCACTATCCAGCTGTTCGAGAAGACTGCAAACGTTTTCACACACCACCCATTGATTTGGACACAAGTGTATTTCTCTGACATTTTTCGCGAAAAATGCGCACAACAGCTCTTTGTACTCGAGAGACTTTCGTAATAACAAATAAGTCGAGTCCCAACGTGTCGGGACCTCTCGTGAAAATTTCTCGGGCTCCTTACTGTTGGCTTTGCAAAATTTAACCCACTGCTTCATTACTTGTGGGTTCGACCACAAATATCCAATCGCTTGCCTAATGGGTCTTAGCTGAAGTTGTACGTGCTGTAACCCATCTCGTGCACATAAACTTAAAACGCGGCATGCATCTATAAAAGGAAAGACTTTACAACCAACTGACGACTCGATTGCAGGCTTTAGATCCTCCACACTATCAATATTTGAGCCAATACATTCCAACAATATTGAAAAGATCTTACCGGTTAATTCGTATTCTTCCAACACCGAAAGTATGGTTCGACAAATGTTTTCAGCCGTGCGCTCTCCTAGGATCATTCTGAACGCCAGCAATCTTCTCTGAATGAACCAAGAATCATCTATCCAGTGACAAGTAACCGATACATACGAATGCACTTGCCAAAAATCGCACCAAATTTCAACAGACAAAGAAACTTTACACTTCATAGCTGAAAATTGGTCAATCAAGTCGTATCGGCCTTCTAAATATAAATTTGTGAGTCTGCACTCGAGTGCAGAAGTCGGAACACGTTTGGCAGCAGGATTTAACGAAAGGCAGAGATTTTCAAAAGTTGGTTTCTTGCCAAAATTAAGAGGAAGATTCTCAAGGGCAACAAATTTAGCTAGATTATCTATAAAATCATCACGAAAACTTTCAAGTAAGACATCATTGTTACTTTGAGGATATGGGATTTTTGGGATACTCTGTAGGAAGCCGCCGGGATGGTTGACTGTCCTTTCCCCGCTCGAGCTTGAACCAGCCATTGATGACCCAAATAAAAAGTAAATTATGGGCTTGAGAGAAAATGTAGAAGGGTTGAGAGAAAATGGAGACTTTTTGCAGCTCTGTAGAAGCCGAAGCAAGTTAGAGGAGATAATTTGAAACAGTTGAAACTTGAGAGTTGAGAGATTTTATTTTTTTTAAGGTGAGAAAAATTATGGGCTTGGGGCGATTTATAGAAGTGACCTAACCTAACAAACGGTAAAATAGTAAAATACACTGCACTGCATCCTAAAAGTAACATGGGGAACCGGCGGTTAGCCGGTTCCAACGTCTCGAATCTGTGAGAAAAAGTGGAACCGCCGGTTCCTAGATGCATTAATTCTTATTGGACCCCAGATGCATTTTTTCTATTGGAAAAGAAACCAGTTCTTGTCGTCTTAACCAGTCTTGTCGTCTTACTGAAGGGAAAACAAAACAATCCAATCCATCAATAGTAAATTGTGTGGTAGTATTGTTCTTTATTTTTTTTTTTNCGTTGTATTATTATTCTTTATTTTGAAACTATTGTGAGTTGCAAAACCTAAGATAAGTGATTATTTTTCAAGAGAAATTAGTATGGTGATATAGATAATTTAAATAAAATAAGATAAAAATATGATAAATATTAATATGAAATTAATTAATTTGATCAAGTATACTATTTCCAATTACAAATTTTATAGTTTTAAATTATCATATTACATAAATTATTAATTAATTTACTAAATTATAATATATAAAAAGGCATGTTGTGAAATTATAACTAGTTTATGAATAATTGATTTCTGGTTTAGTTTTTCATTGATTTTCAAATTGTACTATTTCTTTTTTGAATTATAACTAGTTTATGTGCGTAGAATTTTATTTGAATGCTGTATTTTTTATTTAGAAAGTGTAGTAAACTCATAAACAACTCTTAATATATATTCTACTTAAGATTATATGAATTTTCATTTGAGAAATGATTTAATTTGGATGTAAAAGTTTGTGGTTATATAGATTTGTTGTTCTTGCTCCTAAAATATAAATAAACTTCACCATCAAATCCTAAAATTCCCACAAATGAGAAGATGGACCCCCCACATTTATCCCAAGAAGTGGTGTTTCTTATATTTACATCCACTCAAGCAAGGGAGGGGTCCCTCCCACTCGACATACATTACGTTATATTAAATGACAAGGAGAAAACGTGACAATTTCATTCTTTCTCATTCTCTGTCAAAAATAATGCTCCAAATAGCGTCATTGCTTTTGTCCACAATGCTTACATACACAATGAAATGCTAAACTTATATTTATGTTATTTAATAATGTATGTTTCTTGTATACAAAAATATATACATGTTTATTAAAAATGTATAGATGTCTAAAGACTGCCTAATATTAATCCTACCATTAATATTTTAATAAGATAAGTCAGAATATCAATATATTCAACTACAGTACGACTACTGTTAGGTAAGTCTAATGGTAAGACAATTTATTTTTTCAACAAATATGTATTTAAATTATTTGGTTGACATCTTTTAAGCCCTCGAAATAACCTAAGCCAGGTGTTGCATGTATCACACATGTGTGGAATACTATATATATCATCCTTTTAAACATGCATAAATGATTGAATTACGTAAATAACCCTTACGCTCGTCACTAGAGGGCCTCATCGATCGCCCATAGATCGCCCAATTATTATAACTGGGCTGTAAACATCTTAAGTAATTTTATATAAAAAAATTGAAGTCAAATTATATAGTAGCCCACTTCTATTTTCATTGGCCTGTGTTATGCCTATATGGCAAACAATTAAAAACTAAAGTTAAATATTTAAACTTTCATCTAATCAACTTTTGGAATAATTGATTTGATGCGTGCAGTGTGTAAGAATTAGAGGCTAATGTTTGAATATTTCATTTTTCTTTTGGAAAAACTTCGTGAGAAACTATCTTAAAAATACAAAAAAATATGACATAATTACTTCTAAACTCATCCTAAAAAATAATATAAACAAAAAAATGTTATTTTGTAGCATATGTATACATATAAAATAATGTCTCATACAAGAATTTGTAATTCGAGTATCTAATAATTGGAGGTAAATGCAACAGTAATCAAACCTTAAAGTTAGTTGATTTTTTTTTTTTTATGACCACTAGTATAATACTCATGTACTACACGGGTACTTGTTAAAAAAATATTTTTAATATTAAATTAAATAATAATAACAGCAACAATTGTTTAAGATTAAATATATGTATTTATTAGGCTAATTTGAGATTTTAATGAAAATTAATGAGCTGATTGATATCTTCCAAAACAAATCAAGGTTATATTAGTCAATAAATACCATTAGCAAAGGTTTCAATACAACTTAAGGGTTATATTAGTCAAACTATTATTGAATTACAAAGTTAGTTTTTCAATATTTTTTAAATGTCCGAACCTAAAATTATTGATTTAGAATAATATTATTTTTTTATCCAAACCAAACTACGAAGTATGTTTTTTCACCAAGTAGGATTCCGAAGTATGCGAAGCTGCCACTTAGGCTAAGTGCATTTTGCAATTAAATATAGGGGATAACGTCGAAGGGTAAGGGTGTGTGTGTATATGAAAAATCAATTTATACTCAAAATCTAACTTAATTTTAACCCAACTCCAATATTTTCAATATTATCAATATAATTAAATAATACCAATCAATTATTCTTACACATCACATCAATTTTAATTTACTATTTATTATCTCACATAATTTTAACTAACCATCACTTCACACACACTCTCTCCTATTTTTACATTAAATTAAATTTAATTATTTTATTTTAAATATTATTTTAATATAAAATCAAAATCTCACTAACAAATAACCATACTATTTTTTCTATATTAACTCTGGTTAACCAAAAAAACTCAATAATTTTTTTTTGTATACAAACAAACACACACTAAACTTTTTAGCAACTATTCGTGATAAAATTAATGAAATTACGAAAATCAGATGATAAGCTAAAAGCCCAACCGTAGGAATGATGTGCGATCTAGGCCATATATTTGGGATTGATAATTCAAGAACATTACACTACAATCCCCAAATAACTCCATGTAATTGTACCTTCCATTTGTTCTTTCTCTAAATTATTTTACTGTTTACATGTACAACTTTACCTTTCCAAAGATTCCCCCTTTAATTCCCCCACTTCACCTTCTCCATCATCATGACAATTAGGAACAGAAAAAAAATTTAAAAAAAAAAAACAAACAAAGGTGCAAGCCAAGAATTTGTATAATGGTGAAAAACCAGAGAGGAAGTCTATCTGAACAAGCTTGTCCTATATTCTGTATCCTCAAGTATTCTCTCTTCATGTGAAATTTAGAAACTTGAAATTTCCCACTGTTGGGCAAGTGGCTTTCTGCTACCTTTTCACCTCGTGCAAGCACAAGCACGATCTTCTTCCACCGCAAGAATCACCTTTTCCCCCTTTTTTTGACAAATTAGTTTATATGCTCCAGAATGGAATTATGTTAAGTAATTTTTAATTCTGGGTTCCTCATTTTTTCCCAGTGAAGCTTGTGGATTTGTTTTATTCTATACTTCGCGGGAATAGATGCTTATTGCCTTTTCGGACTTTCCCCCTCAAAAGGTGTTATGTGGCAGTTTTCTTTTGAATTTACTATGGCCCTTGTCTCAAGATAATCAACCTATTGTTCTTCAGTAGTGTCAAAATTGTTTCTTGAGAATTTTTTGACATCTCTTGGGAGGTCCAACGGACTTCAACCCCACGTCACCACGTCATGATTCTTTGTTTGTGGGTTCTGAGCTTTTAACATCACAATTCCCTTGTAAGCTTCCATATATTATTTTTTTCTAATCAGCAATGAAATTGTGTATAATGGTATTGGCACTTTCATCTTTCCTTCCATTCGGTGGGGTGTTTTCAGCAAATGATTCAACAGGTTCTGATGTTGTCAACATTGGAGCCATTTTCGCATTTAGCACAATCAACGGGAGGGTTGCGAAAATCGCAATGAATGCTGCCGTCGAAGATGTGAACTCTGATCCTAAATTCCTTGGTGGCAGAAAATTAACCCTCTCCTCATACGATTCAAATTACAGTGGCTTTCTTAGCATTATTGGAGGTATGTATGTATGCGTGTTCTTGTTCTTCTGATGTTCATATCTATTTTCTTCCCAAACCCGTTAGTACTAATTGTAAAAATACCTTCAAAACAAAACACAGGATTGCGGTTCATGGAGACCGACACAGTAGCAATAATCGGGCCCCAGGTCTCGGGCACGGCCCTCATACTCTCCCACCTGGCAAACGAGCTCCACGTGCCAATGCTTTCATTCACGGCCCTTGACCCTGCCCTTTCCTCCCTTCAATTCCCCTACTTCATTCAAACGGCCCCCAACGATCTCCAGCAGATGACTGCCATAGCCGACCTCGTGAGCTTCTTGGGCTACAAAGAAGTCGTGGCCATCTACACAGACGATGACCAGAGCCGAGGCACCATATCTGCCTTGAGCGACAAGCTAGCCGGAAGGCGCTGCAAAATCTCCCACAAGGCCGTGCTCTCGCCCGAGGCCCTGGCCAATAGTTCCGAGATCGTGACCGAGCTCGTGAAAGTCTCGATGGTCGAATCTCGCGTGATCGTGGTCCATGCGTACGCTGTTGTTGGGCTTCGGGTCTTGGGCTTGGCCCATGAGCTGCGGATGATGTCACGCGGCTATGTATGGATCGCGACAGCCTGGCTCTCGACCGTTATCGAGTCGGACCCCAATTTTGGACAGAAGGACGCGGGATTCATGCAGGGGGTTATTGCTTTGCGGCCCCACACGCCGGATTCCAAGCGTAAAAGGGCGTTTTCATCAAAATGGGGAAAATTGAGCAACGGGTCGATTGGGCTGACCGCGTACGGTTTTTACGCGTACGATACGGTTTGGACGGTTGCGAATGCGGTTAAGCTGTTTCTCGAGCGCGGTGGGAATATCTCGTTCACAAACAGGCCGAATATGAATGGGTTGGGAAGGGGAAAGTTGAATCTTGCTGCCTTGAGTAGGTTTGATGGGGGGAATCGAGTTCTTGAATACATACTGAGGACGAATATGACGGGCTTAACGGGCCGGGTTGCGTTCAATGAAGATAAATCTGTGGTTCGGCCCGCTTTTGATATTCTGAATGTGGTTGGGAAAGGTTACAGACAGGTAGGATACTGGTCGAATTATTCGGGCCTCTCGGTTATGCCTCCAGAGGTTTTTTACGACAAGAAGGCTAACCGGTCCAGCTCTAGCCAAGTTCTTGGGGAAATCGTATGGCCTGGTCAAACGAAGGTCAAACCGAGGGGTTGGGTTTTCCCGCACAATGGAAGGAAGTTGAGGATCGGTGTTCCGAACAGATTCAGCTTCAAGGCTTTTGTGTCGAGAGATGAGAGTACGAACGAGATTCGTGGGTATTGCATTGATATATTCCAAGCGGCCGTAAGCTTGCTGCCTTATGCTGTTCCTCACACGTTTGTCTTGTTCGGGGACAAACGCATGAATCCGAGTTACGGGAAGCTCGTGAGCATGATCACGTCTAATGTGAGTGAGTGAGTGAGTAAGTACACATAGGGATTTTTTAATACTTTTTATAATTAGTAGTAAAAATAAATTTTTCTTTTTAGGTCTTTGATGCAGTAGTTGGTGATGTTGCGATTGTGACCGAGCGGACAAGGATTGTGGATTTTACTCAGCCTTATATAGAGTCGGGCCTGGTTGTGGTTACAGCTGCGAGGAAGTTGGACTCGAGCGCGTGGGCATTTATGCGGCCGTTTACTCCTTTGATGTGGGCTGTTACGGGCCTGCTCTTCCTAGTTGTTGGGGTGGTGATTTGGATCTTGGAACACAGGATAAACGACGAGTTCCGTGGGCCGCCTAAGAAACAGTTGATCACAATTTTGTGGTGAGTCCAAGTCTTATTATGATGGCTCTCTTCATTTTTACTATCATCCTCCCAAGGAAATAGGAAGGTGGTTGTTAGTTTTTTATATGGAAGTAGTCTCTTCTGAATTTGTATCATTTTGATT